TCATAAAGACGTCGGGCGAGCTGTGACCCGACGCCGGACTCCTCTGCTCTCCCTCCCCAGCTCTTTAGTTTTTCTACACTTCAGCCTCGGCCATTCTCTCGGGGGGGATGGAGCCTTCCTCCTCCTCTTCCTCCTCTTCCTCTTTGATTTCTCTTTTTTTTTGGTTATATTTCTTCGGTTTCTTCCCGCGGTTCATGGCGCATGGATCTCTTCTGCCCTCATTTGAGCTGACCTCAGTTGTTTGGTTGGGTTTTTTTGAGCTTTTTTTTTTTCAGTTTACATCTTTATTTCGACGGCAAATAAAAACAGTCTCTTTGACGTTTGATGGGGCTTGTGCTGATATTTTTTCCCCCCCATTTTTTGGTTTTTTTTTTCCCTTAAATATTATTATTTGTCACTTGATGGCTTGATTTCCCCCCTCCTTTTCCTGCATCCCCTCCGCCGGCGGATGCCAGGGGCTGGCGGTGATCCACAGCCCTCTCTCCTCCAGATGTGCGCCTCCAGCCAGCGATGTTGTTTATGGGCATGTTTAATGCATGCGGGTGCGGCGCTGGGGAAATTACAGCAGAGCTGGGAGAGGAGAGGAGGAAGGGAAGGGAAATGATAGCAGCTACGGCGAGCTGGGAGGTGGCGGTGGTGGTGGTGGTGGTGGGGGAATAGACCCTGCAAGGTGGGGAGCAAATCCTGCACCCACCAAAGCTGGAGCTGCAGGATCCTGGTCCTGGGGGAGAGCAAGAACCTGCTGGGCAGGGGGGAGGAGGGGGTGGAGGAGATGTAGAGGGGATGTGGAGATGTGGAGGAGATGTGGAGGGGATGGAGGAGATGTGGAGGGGATGTGGAGGAGATGTGGTGGGGATGGAGGGAGTGGAGGGGATGTGGAGGGAGTGGAGGGGATATGGAGGGGATGGAGGAGATGTAGAGGGGACATGGGGGCATGTGGAGGCAATGGAGGAGGTGTGGAGGGGATATGGAGGGGATGGGGGGGGGGTGGGAGGGGAGGGGACGATCTG